ATGTTTGTTTTCTTCCAGTTTCGCGCCAGTCACATAATAGAATGTTATCAACATCCGCACAAAGTCCATGTGGATTCTCTGAACTACACACTGCTGTATTCTCACATATGCCTCACTCCATCTCACTCGGAACTTATGTGGACTTTGTACTAGGGAACTGGCAGAGTAAAGTCCGGGTCAGCTGGCTCAGACATTTGCATTCTCACATGCAGCTCCCCTGGGCAATGTCTAATGTGTAATTTCAGGGTTCTAGTGCAAGTCTGAAAAGGGCTTCAGTTTACATCCTGCACTGGATGTGATTTGGCCAGGCTGCAGCAGTACACAGCCAAGGAGCCTATCCTCTGCCTCTACCCTTCTTTTTCTTCTTCCATTCTGACTATCTACACTTCAGCTCTCTCATTGCCAGAAGCACATGACCATGAGGCAGAAGTGAAGTTGAAAAATAAAGCAGCCCTGCCCTTGTAAAAAAATTAAAACAAAGATAAACAACTGACATTAATATCATAAAACAGATAGGGAAGCTGTATTTCCAGAATAAAACAAAACCTTCTTAAAAAAAATTTAAAAATACTCCCTTTCTCCTGAGTGGACTTTGCCAAATTATGAGCTCATACTTTGTAGGCCCTTTGCTGCATATCTATTCATAGTATCAGCTCCAAAATGTTTATGACCCTTTTATAACCCATTTCTATCTCATTATCTGGAATCTGCTAATTTAGCACTGGAAATATGGAAGTGCTTTCCTGATTTATAAGGACATACAATGACTCATAGAAAACCAGTGCATGCAGGAACAGCTTAAACTCTTCATATGTCTTGAGAGATAGAGACTGGTAAAAGTCAAACTGAGACTGTGGCTTTGTGTGTATATACAGTCACAAGAAAAAAAAAGTAATGGCACTGTTTGCAATTTCCTGATTTTCAGCATAAATTGGTCATGAAATATGATCTCATCTTCTCCTAAGTTACAAATATCAACAATATTTATAACCTGATAAAACACAAACAGTCATGTCTTTATTGAACACACCCATTAAACATACAAGTGATGGTGGAAAAAGTAATGGCAAAAGTGTTTTAAAGGGGTTGGCGATCCTGGAAAACCCAGCAAGATGAAGCTCAATTTTGAAAGCAGACAACCAAAGAAATACCACCCTTTCATGCTGAAGCCAGAATGAAAGGGTGTTTTGTGATTCCAAAACACAACATGCGGTGCAACACGCACTACCTGACTATTTACAGATTTCAGGAAAATAACAAATGCCCCCAAACCAAACAAAACTGAGAATTACTGGTCCAACAAAGATACGGCCACTAGGGCATCACTTTTCAGCCTCTTCTGTTCTCTCAGTTGTCCCCGTCATTCAAAAGCCACACCAATTCTTGTTTTACTTCTTGCAACAATACAGTGTTTCCCACCCAGATCTGAGACCCAGAACCATAGTTAGGGACCTCTGGTCAATGGCTAAACTGCTTTAGTCCTGGCTAGGAACTGACCTTAGAAATCTGGGCTTTTCCAGTGAGGAGAAGTGAAGAGGGAGGTTAGCTAATGCCATCAAAACACGGGCTTTATTCCGTCTTGGTAACACAAACACTCTATGTGGCCTTTGATCAAGGTCAAGGTCAAGATCAAGGTCAAGAATCTTTATTGTCATTATGCATAGCACAACAAAATGGCAGCTCTCGGCTTAAAAGACAAATATATTATTTACACAACACAAAATTGTATAAGTCAATATAAAAATATGAACAAATAAAAAGGGATGTATGGGACCTACTCAGGTCAGCAGCATGTTAGCAGCAAGAGTGTAGTAACATTATAAGGTGCAGCTCAGTGCAAATCTCAGTCTTTAGGAAGAGGTGTGAGGTCCAGTGTTCTGTGTCTGTCCATAGGGGGGAGGTTGTGTGTGTGGCTAGGGGTTAGGGGGGTGATTGACTTCACAGCTCCAGGGAAGAAGCTGTGTCTCAGTCTGTTTGTTTTAGTCTTTATATTCCTGTACCTTTTCCTGGAGGGAAGAGGCACAAACAGACCATTGCCTGGGTGGGTGGGGTCTGCAGCAATCCGTCCCGCCCTCCTCTGGATCCGTTCAGTGTATAGTGAGTCCAGATCCAGAAGAGTACTCCCTACGATGCCCTGAGCTGTTCTCACCACCCGGGTCAAGTCCTTTCTGTCCTGTGCAGTGCAGCTCCCGTACCACACTGTCGCACTGAGACAGAGGATGCTCTCTACTGTCGCTCTGTAGATGTTTGTGAGATACTGAGAGGAGAGACCAGGATGTTTCAGCTTCCTGAGGAAGAAAAGCCTTTGCTGGGCTTTCCTCAGGTGTTCAGGACAAGATTGTTATCTGAAAACCACCTTGTCAGGTGCTGGATCTCCTCTCTGTAGTGAGTCTCATCATTGTCTGAGATGAGACCCACTATGGTGGTGTCATCCGCAAACTTCACAACTGTATTTGAGTGAAGAGAACTGGGCTGAGCACACAGCCCTTCTGATGCGCCTGTGTAGATGATGTGCAGCTTCCGATTCTCACCACTTGAGGCCTGTTAGTGAGAAAGTCCTTAATCCTTAACACAGCACTGCAGGCATTCCCAGATTGTGCAGTTTCAGTGCCAGTTTGTCTGGGATTAAATGTGTTAAATGTCTATAATTAAAAGTGTTAAATGCCAAACTGAAGTCAACATTTTCTACCGCTTAGTCCCTGAACGGGGTCACGGGGGGGGCTGGAGCCAATCCCAGCCAGCAAACGGGCGAAGGCGGGATACACCAACCAACCTAAGCTGCATGTTTTTGGACTGTGGGAGGAAGCCGGAGTACCCGGAGAGAACCCACGCAAGCACGGGGAGAACATGCAAACTCCACACAGAAAGGTCCCGGGTGGGGTCCGAACAAATAGACTTCAATAATACTTCAATAATAAGTAGTTCAGCTCTTCCATACTGGATGGTGGCTTCAGAAAACTGTGGGGACAACAAACACACGAAAACAAAAATACAAATAAAAAACAAAAAGCTGAGAGCTCTGAGCCGCTGCGTGTATACGCGCCGCCATCTTGAGTAATGATGCCAAGTTATCTGCATTATTATAACCCTATCTATACACTTGGAGCTGAGTACTGTTGGTATTTTCTGCACCTCTGGCTAAATGCAGGTTGCAACTTCTGGCAACAGCAACAACATTACCTATAAGGCTATATAACTTAAAGGGGAAGGCCTGGTTTGTAACAGTGGTCTTGGTTTGCAGCCGAACGCTGCTGTGGCTGCCTTCTCTGCCATAGCTCGCTATCACAACAGAGTGGTAACATGTCTACCTGTAACTGCACTGCCTTGTGGGAGGCAGAATGCGCACAAGTAGGAAATAAGGCTGATAGGCAGGTAAGCCATTCAATAGTTTTGCTTGGGATGAGCAAAATTACTGGTCAGGCTTTTTTCAGCCCTGCTCCTGCCACAGATGACGATTCTTTTACTTCAGTGCATTTAATGTGTTCATTTCCATTTGGATAAAAAGATCATTTCAAGATATGTAACAAAAATGCTTCTGAAAAAAACTGCAAACTCTACCTTTAATAACTAGTTAAACCACCTTTGGTAGCCATACCCTCAAGCAAACACTTCCTGTGGCTGTAGATCAGACCTGCATAACATTCAGAAGGAATTTTGGACAATTCTTCCTTACAGAATTGCTTCAGCTCAGCCATATTTTTAGGAGGTCTGGTGTGAACAGCTCTCTTGAGGTCATTCCACAGCATCTCTATAGGGTTGAGGTCTGGGCTCTGACTGGGCCACTCCTAAAGGTGGATTTTTTTTTGTCTCTGAAGCCATTCTGTGGTAGATTTAGTTTGGGTCATTATCCTGCTGCATCAACCAGCTTCCCCCACAATAGCAAGTGGTCCAGGTCCAGAGGCAGAAAAGCAGCCAAATCAGCTTCTCCCTCCACCATACTTCACTGTTGGGATGATGTTTTCATGTTTCTACACAGTTCTCTTTTTACGCTATACATAGTGCTGTATGTTCTTCCCAAACAATTCAACCTTTGTTTCATCTGTCCACAGGACATTTTTCCAGTAGTGTTATGGAGTGTCAGGGAGGTCTTTGGTGAACTTCAGGCATACTGCAATGTTGTTTTTGGAGAGCAATAGCTTCCTCTGTGGTGCCCTGCCATGGATGCCATGCCTGTTCAATAATTTGCATATGGTTGAATCATGAGCAGTGATGTTAACCAATTCCAATGAATCCTTCAAGTCTTTAGCATATTGCTATTTGACATGTTCAAAAGTAATAACTGTCAAAAAAGAAACCACCAATGTGATTTTAAAAAAAAGTGTTACAGTCCTCTCTAAAAGCATACACACAAGCTATGAGCTCACTAATAATTACTGCAGACACTAAGGACCAGTATGGGATATAGAAACAGCTCTGTGTGTGTACGTGCAAACTGGTATCAACAGGAAAGAGTCAGCCAATGACACTAATTGGGTGGTGTGTGTGTTTTATGAAAAGAACAGCCTGTACTAGTTCAGGCTCCCTCCCACAGTTCTCTGACTGGCTGGCTCCTGAGTGGTCTGCTTTTCTTCTCTGCACTGTGATTGGAGCCAGGGAAAGCCAGTAACTAAAAATGTTTTCCCCCCTCTTTTCCTCAGGAGGCACTCTTGTTGTTTTCAACTTCACAGGCAGAGCTGAGCTGACACAATCCAGTCACAGCCCTGCACTCTGGTGCTCAAGCTGCATAAGACATACAGTACATGTTGTACTGGATTTTTAGTCCTACACCATGTTGGTATCTGCACAGGGTACTATGAGACCCTATCGGCACATTAAACTTCATTAATGCTGTGGTTGCATCTCCATCAGGTCTCTTTGTAATCAGGCAGATCACTTTAGTCTGTGTGTTGGTTAAGGGTGGAGTGCTTGTGTGCTGTGCAATCAAAATAGTGAGCACAAGCATTTATTACACCAGCCATGCTTTTTAATCAATCCAATAACAAATCGGGGAAAAGAAAAAAGACCACACAGGGTATAAAATCAATTATTAGGCTCAGTTTTGCAACAGTTTATTTATCTCAAAAACAATAATGAAAATATATATTTACAAAAACGCGCACAAATTTTGCTTTGAGAAGCTATACAGAAACCCAGAAAAAAACTCAACATAAATAAGTTAGTATATTTTTTTCAGTGTTTAAAAAAAGGCACACAGGTACACTTCAAAATCTTAAACTAAATGAGGCAGTTTAACTTTGTTTTCTGCCTTCACAAAAATGACAATAATAGTGCAATTACATGTTCCACATGAATTCCACACCACAATGACAAATCTTTGATTCACATACTTGCATAATAAGTAGCCCAGTATTTTAACATAGTGTATCTACATTAACCTGGACTAGGGGGCGTGCTATGTGACCTATAAGGCATATTAACTCACCTAATTTAAAAATAAAAGTTACTTCTTAGGATTAATAGCAAATACTGTTCAAATTTGGTTGAATAATTCTCAGCAGTTTAGCCACCTTAACACCCACCCATCCCTCACCCTCAGACTAAAAAAAGGCACAAACTTTGGCAAAAAAATAAAAAAAGGGAAATAATTAGACTTGTTTTGTATGTAAACTTTATCTATAATGGCTGTTCCCAGTTAGAAGGGCCCTCAACTTGCAGTGTGACCATCTGGACCTTCAATGGCAATATATATATATATATAACACAGGGACAAATAAAGCCATAGAAAATGTGAAGACATTTTTTCCCAGATAACCCTGACTTTTCAAATCTGCATTTTTAACTTACATCAATTACCTGAATAATGATACAATATGAGCACTTTAACAAAATGATATTTCTCTGTTGGAAATTGCACTGCAACTTCCTGAGTCAAATTCACACACAAAAACATTTAACAAAGGTATGAAAAGCATATTATGCTTTTTGTGCTACATCTGAAACATAGGTAGTAGATTTAAAAAAAAAAAAGATGAGCAAAACTCCATTTGCACACTGCTACATTGTCTGCTGCTTCTGAGGCAGTTGAATTAAAATGAGTGCCAAAACTTGATAGTGTACATATTCAGTGCTTGTGCAGCCTCTCTCTCTTCCCTTCTTTAGAAAAAGAGCGCTTTTTAAATGTTCTCCTGTGTGTCACATGATGAGAAAGGCTACGGTGTTCCACCAGCGACAGGTCCCTCTGCTCTGCGGGACATAAAGAGGAAACAGGCTGTTGAATGGTGCAATTGAAAAAGCAGTTGCTCATGCTTGATATCCCTCACACGCACGCACGCACACACACACACACGCAACACAACAGTCATAGCGTGAAGGCTTGTGGCAGCATTAGAAAAACAAAACGCTGTTTGAAGGGCTGATGAGGACAAGTGCTGTGCAGTAAAGACCAGTGTTCCCAGTGGTTATATATCTGCTGGCATCCAGTAGAAAAGCCGATACTTGGTATTTCACACAATGACAATCTGAAATTAATTCATTAGTGTTATGAGCAGTCTAATAGGGAGGTGATGATTTCTAACCAGGTTGGTTTTTTATTGGATCTCGGCGCTGGGTCTCTCCTCAACGGCCTTTACCGCCTGACTTCCTGCGCCGCTCGACTGGTCTTCATCATCATCATCACCGTCGTCATCGAAATGCAACCTTTTACTCTGACACTCGCTGAAGCAGGGACCTGGAGGAAAAAAGTTATCACAGTGTTAATGTATCGAGCTGCAAATTCACCCTTAAATGCACCTGGCAGTCTCTGCAGGCTGCTGCTACCGGATGGTGGAAACTTTTTAGCCCGGTAACCTGTACAGAGTGGCCCGGAATAAGCGAAGAAGGATGTGGGAAAAATTACTATGTAATAAGCGTGTTTGAGCTCCTAAACACCAGCCTCAATAATAAGCATAATTTAACGTGTGTAAAGAAATGTTCCGTTCCTCCCAGCGTTTTGCTCCAGGATACTTCTGTTTGAAACGACTCGGGTGAAACCGATCGTAGCCTACGGCTGAAGTCCGGACACAGCTGTTGCTTGGCGCAACTCCATTGCTGCACAGTGGCACTACAGGAACGCACAGGGGAACAAAAGTGCCTGACAACTTTATTAAACCAAAGTAAATCACCTGAATCTCCTGAGCGTCTTTTCGTTGAACTGTCGCCGTCTGGTCGACCCGACCGTCTTTCAGTCCTCTCCTCGGCATCCTTACAGTTGTTAACGCCGGGTAAGTCCACATCTCGCTGGGGCCGCTGACTCCCGTGAGGTGGTCTGACAAAATACTCCGGTGGGTTGCTGTCCTCCTGCCACTCGTAATTACGCGGAGTCATCGGTCTGTCGTTGACCGGATCATAATTATATGTTTCCATAAAAGTCTGCACGTCTCTCTGTATCGAAGCCGCTAAATATTCCCCTAACGCCTCTGGGTCAGGTCTGCCGAAAAGGTTTCTGCGGACCGGAGGTCTGACGTTTTCTGGCTGCCGCGCATCCACCCTCTCCCTCTCCAGCGTCGGGCTCGCATTAGAAAGGCGAACATCTGACATTTTGTTGCACATATGACAAGGCAAAAGAGTACACAAACAACAACGAACCCTTCTCCGACGGCTATTCCGATGTATTATTCCTTTTAATTGCAAAGACAAAGGAATGATGCATGTATACTCCGCTCGTACGCGTGCGCGCAAAAAATGGAATAAAATGTCTCCAAATGCGCAGGGAGGGGATCTAAGAGAGCCACTCCTGTCAAGTCCGTAGTAAGGCCGATGGAAACAACTCAAGCTAGAACAGCCAACATGGCGTTAGAGAGAGCTGTGGGCGACATCAAGGACTATTTAAACAGCAAATACGATCCACTGGTCTGCGCGTTAGGACCGCCCACAAAAGCTTTCTTAAAGTCGACCAGGGGCAACGACTACGACACGGAGCTGTATTGGATCAAGTCTATGCCTGAATTAATTGATTAGTTAAATCTATATAAAAAGAGGTGGGCTGCTGTCTTGCTCCAGGCTGGTAAAAATATCACAAAAATCAATCATCCAAAGACAGTATGAGTGCTGACAGATCTTACAGTTTGACCTGATTTGGTGTCCCATAAATGACTTAGGCACACTTGATTCGATCACTGTACATCTGTTTGGTTCCTGCTTTGAGGTTATTAGAGGACAGTAAGACACCAAGGAAAACAATAACAACAAAAAAGCCACAAATCTGCATCCTGACATCTGATGACATCAGCTCCAGAGCAGAAAGCCTTCCGTCATCGTTGGCAGGGTGCCTATCGCTGTCAGACTTTGCCACAGGTACCACAGGGGTGGTTTGTGTGCTTGGTTTACTTATAATTGCTCATGTGTGCTTAGAATTTTAACACTGAGGAAAGAGAAAGTGGTTCAGCTTAAAAAGAAAAAAAAAAAACATGTTGAAATCCATTCCCCTCTGACAGTCCTCAGTTTACATCCTGATGTAAGAATTTTACTGGTGTCCATGTGAACACATCAGTGCTTAACATTTAATGTCTGTGTATCCCACAGCTCAGTTGGAATCCTGCAAAAACTGAGTGAAAACATCACTGACAGTAAGGACTACTTGTGCCCAGAAATGTACAATATCCCAAGTTAACCTCTACAGTGTCACTCTGCACTCCTCTACAGCATCTGCCAGGAAAACATACTGGGCCTGCCTTAAAGGCCATGCTGTTTCAATTAACCCTTGAAAACACTCAGATATGCTGCAATGAATACAGTTAAGACCAGGGGTTATACTGGTGTTATTGCTGGGATCATACTTAATCTGTAATGTGTTTGTCGCTTGTGTTGTAAAGGCTTGAGCTGAAAGCATCAGATTGACCAAGCTGATGAGATGGACATAAGAAAAACAAAGAGAACATTTTGTTAAGGTCACACATGCGTAACTAATGCATTATGGGTAAACATTTTTTTACTCAGTAGGGCAAATTAAGTCTCGTTCTCGTGGCTTCAGAAGGAAAAAAGTATGAGTTAATCCATCACAACAAACATAAAATCATAAGTCTTACCAAAGTTCTTTCATTAGAGTTTTACTGAGCCAAGATTGATGTTTCTTCACAAGGAGATGATTCAAAAAATACCTGCCACCATACATAGTGTACATTACTGTCTTATCTACATAGTGTTATTTGACTAAGTGGGAGTTAACTATCTGACACCGCCGATTCGACATCATTACACTGTCACTAAAATTAGAATTAGATGCACATTATGACCCATGATTAAACAGTCACAAAACAAGACAATAAAGGTCACTATAAAATATTATAGTCTAAGCTAACATAGAAAAACATTTCTGACTCCATAGAAGTCAACAGTGCAGAGCTCCAAGTGATAGCAGTAACACAAAGCATGTGTCACTGTCAGTACATTTATTTCTAGTACTAGAGAGAATGTCATAAATGTTATGGTTATGTTACTAAAAAGTAATGTGTTTTCTCACAAACGGGGACCTTCAAAATTGCACAAAAGCATAAGGTATCAAGTACAACAAGAAAGTGTATAATTATTATTTTCTTTCTTCTGCAAGGGCAGGGGAAACACTTGGTCTTTTATCTGCCTAGCAACTACTCTTTGGGAAATATTTTTACTTTTGCATTGTTCTTTCAAGTCCCACACTGTTTGGGCTCAACAGGAAATGGGCCAAAACATTTTAAATGACTGATCAGATATTAGCAGTAACTTTAATATTGTTCATCCAGATTTGATTATCAATTAATATCACAAATAGCCATAATAGAAAATGTGCTGTACTGCAGCAGTCCCCAACCTTTTTTGTACCAGGGACCGGTTTCATGCATGACAATTTTTCCGTGGACAGGGTAGAAGCGCAGGGGTTCCGATAACAAAAACCTTTGTCAGTTCATAGTATGTAGTCTGAATGCAACAATTAAACTTTATATTAGGCAATTACAATAATTCTACACTATAATAATCAATTCACCATAATGCAGAGTCAGTGGGCCTTGGGTTTGTTTCCCTGCAACTAGAAAAAGGGCTTGTCTTTTAACGCAGGGTGTTTTGTCTCAGTGTGGTGAAGCATTTTTGAGGGTTTCATGTCTTCATTAGCTTGTTGGTCACCGCAAATTATGCATAGTGTGGAGCTTGTGTATCACCTATTGCGATGAACCCGTAACTTAGGTAGGAATCGTGGTATTTTCTTTTAAATGCAGCTTTCTTTTTGCTGGCAGTCTGTGACCCTTCTGCTGTCCCATCGTTTGCTCGTTCCTTCCCGAAAAAGCTCTCCAGTGAATTTTGTTTTTGGCTCATTTTTTTAAAAGGGTTAGCTTGTGTCGCTGAGGCGTAAAATGGCGTGCCAGAGTCAAGTGCGGTAGTGAGGCGAGGGTGGAAACAGACATTTTTCAAACTAACACTAATGAAAGAAAAATAACTAGAATTTTAACCACGCCCGGTACCAAATGATCCACGGACCGGTACCGGTCCGGGGACCGGGAGTTGGGGACCCCTGCTGTACTGAATAAAGGTTTGATATGTTAATTCCATAGACAGTATATAAAGATAGACATGCGACAACTCCCAGAAGTGAAGCCACCATAAGCTGCTCGCTCCCTGGTCGCAGTACAGGTAATAAACCCTGCTCCTTTCATGGGACATGAGCCAAATGTCAAAAACAACACAGATCAAACACATTTTTGCCAAAGGTGATTTCTCTCATTTTAGATAGATATTATCACACTGAGTTGTGCACAAGTGGTTGTTTGAAGATATAATATTTTGGATGATTTGGCAGCTCTGATTGGTGGCTGGATACTGCAGCTCCACTTTTAGTTGCTCCTGTGCAGAGTCTGACTGCAAAACGCATCACAAAAGCAAGATGGCTGCCCCCTGTATTCGCAAAAGTTTCGCTACACTTTTGCATAATAGCAGAACTGGTTACACGTCATCCATTGTTATACACAGTCGATGGTTTAACCTAGCATTCTTTTTAGATGCAATGCCCACATTTGTTTTTAAGTCGCCATGCAGCTAAACAATTACACAGCAACAGAAGATTTAAAGCAACTGCAGGGCATTTTTTTCCACATACAGTACATGGCAACTGGATTTTAAATTTGGACCCATTTTTTATTAAGAGGGCAGATTCTGAGCCTGCAAACACAACCCAACAAGGGTCCTGGAACACTAGCCACACCTGCTGTTTGCATCTTAAAAACAAAGAAAGAAAGAAAAAACTACTAATACAGCAGGCTAATTTATTGGCCTCAGGCATAAACTAGCATTTTTCCAGTGGATGGTGTTAATTTACAACAAAAATAATAAAAAAAAAATAACCCAGAGCAATGCTAATAAAGTACAAGATGTTTTATTTTGCATGATGTATTTATAGCTTGGGCCAGTATAGGTCTAATCGAACATGCTGATAAAAAACTATTTATGACAAGAGGTATTGACATTTATCTTTGATTTCTGAGCAGGTCATGGACCTCTTGCCTGGTGTCATGAGACGGCAGCCTTGGAGCTCTGCTTTTTCTTGGCCAGCTCAGTCTGAATCTGATGGGGGAACTGGTCAAAGTGCTTGTTCACACACTGCAGGCAGAACCTCTTGGTGTAAAAAAGGCTGCAGTCCTGAGAGAAAAGAAAGAAAAGTTCAGCACCAGCATTAGTTCTCCATAAGCACTTTTTTTAAAGATAGGAAGACATTTTCTTTTCTTACTATATATCTGTGAAACTGGGTTAATTGATTTTAAGACCATAGTCATGAAGCCTAATCAGCACGTATATATGCTACATGACAAATTCATCCAAGGAAAACATCAATGTAACAAATACACGTTTTTTTCCACCAGTGATCTACAAGGTCAACTTGTGCCAAGTGTAAAACTGTCACAGGAGTGCAGCTTGGTTTTAAAAGGCAGAATAAACATGTTTTAGCTTGTTATTTTATCTGTTCCAACACTATACTCAATTGTCTGTTTATTAGGTACACCCAGCAACAACTGCCCTGCTATAAATCCTGTTGCCACAAAAACGATAATAATCAGTTTGTGCTCAAAGTGTTTTAGAAGGGTATTGTTTCAACTGTATGGCCATTTTGAAAGCTGCAGTTTTTGCTGCTGCTGAATTATACTGCATTATTGATGTGATGTGCTAAATTACACGATCATATATTTTGTCTGTAGTGGGAACACACCGTAGCAATTGAATCTTACCGATCCAGCACAGACACGTGTGCTGCACAGGCTGCAGAGAGATCCCAAAACAAGAAACCGTTCCTTGTCAGGACTGAAGGGGTCTTTGGTCACAAAACACTCCTCAAGCAACCTGGTGATCGACATAAAGGCAATACATAAACTGATTTAGGTTTGGAGTCAGGTGGTTCTCAGATTAGAAAAACGTTGTTACAAAACAACACACATCTTGGTGGGGAAATATTTTGGCAGTGTATTTAGCTAAGATTAGACAAACATTACACGCTGTCACGTAGCAGCTAAAAACGTTAGCTTTAGCGTAGACTAATACCAGAACACTAAGTGAGCATTTTGCTTAATTGTCACTTACACAATAGCTCTAGTGTTTGGTGGTTTCTGACCGTAGTAAGTATAAGGGCTATTTAAACCACACAACTGACAAATAAATACTTTTTGAGGAGTTTCATTTGTAGTTTGCTCCATCGTTCGAAGCAGGGGGTTAAAAAATGTTAGTTCCTGGTTTTCATGTCGACCTCAGCCACATTGTTTCATGAAACGTCACTGCCACCTACTGGACTGGGGGAGTAAAACTACAGACTGTGTAAAGAATATACCGCAGTTAAAATATAATTTATTTAGTTACAAGTGATACATACAAACAAGTTGAGATATTTTGGCTACCACTGCTTTGCCATATAATTTTTAACCCTACTTAAGGCAGTTCAAATGCATCAAACATGTGACCTGATATAGTATATGAAGTTTTTATAAAAGTTTGATGAAGCACACATTTAAATAGTAATAACTAATTCTATAATATATTTTTTACAACATTTAGTTTAACATATGATTAAATAAAAAGCACAACTAATAACAGTAATGGCTTCCTGGGGCACTCAAGTAGAACAAAGCTATCATTAACCTGCGTTATGCCTGCTGACAAATCAAAATGTCTGTAGTGAACAAGGCCTAATTTGAAAATTGGGATCTGAATCAGATGGACAGATAAAATTGGCCTCATTAGGACAGTAAATAAGTTGGGGCATTACAAATATAACTCAGCTAAATATATTAGTTTATTTTGGAACAACACATAATTCATTTTATTTAAAGAGCAAATACATTTTTTATTCTACACTGTATTGTACATAATAAAAAACTCCAAACAGCTTAATTATGACAGGAACCGATATTTCAGTACTCCACTGGGAGGTGAAGTCTACATGCAGAAAATAAAGCAAGCATCCGCATTTGCAAGGTTTGTATTACTGTCTGCAAATAGACAGGTCCCTTCCATGACATTTTTGTTATATTTACAAAATAAAACAAAATTAGCACTCAGTCTTTTTGGGTATGAGTTTATCAGCAATGCACATCTTGACCCCTCAATATTTGCCCACTCTTCTTTGCAAAAACGTTCCAAATCTGTCAGATTGCGAGGGCATCTCCTATGCACAGCCCTCTTCAGATCACCCCACAGATGTTCAATCGGATTCAAGTCCGAGCTCTGGCTGGGCCATTCTAAGACTTTTATCTTGTTCTGGTTAAGCCATTCCTTTGTTGATTTGGATGTATGCTTGGGGTCATTGTCGTGCTGAAAGATGAAGTTCCTCTTCATCTTCAGCTTTCTAGCAGAAGCCTGAAGGTTTTGTGCCAATATTGACTGGTATGTGGAACTGTTCATAATTCCCTCCACCTTGACTAAGGCCCCAGTTCCAGCTGAAGAAAAACAACCCCAAAGCATGATGCTGCCACCACCATGCTTCACTGTGGGTATGGTGTTCTTTTGGTGATGTGCAGTGTTGTTTTTGCACCAAACATACCTTTTGGAATTATGGCCAAAAAGTTCAACCTTGGTTTCATCAGACCATAACACCTTTTCCCACATGCCTTTGGGAGACTTCAAATGTGTGTTTGCAAAATGTAACCGGGCATGGATATTTTTCTTTGTAAGAAAAGGCTTCCGTCTTGCCACTCTACCCCATAGCCCAGACAAATGAAGAATACGGGAGATTGTCGTCACATGTACTACACAACCAGTACTTGCCAGGAATTCCTGCAGCTACTTTAATGTTGCTGTAGGCCTCTTGGCAGCCTCCCTGACCAGTTTTCTCCTTGTCTTTTCATCAATTTTGGAGGGACGTCCAGCTCTTGGTAATGTCACTGTTGCACCATATTTTCTCCACTTGATGATGA